ATATATATATATATATATATATATATATATATTTTGAAAAAAGATAGATATGCTAAGGCATCACAATGTGAGGAAGAGATTCTTAGCACCTCAACCCACAACAATCATCTGCAGCATACCAAAAGACTATATAACACTAGTCAAATATTAAAGACAAAAACAAAAAGATATCCATTGCTCACCCTATGAGAACCTAAAGTGTGGAAGACCAAACTTTTCCCTAAAATAAGAAGTAAGAATACAAAAGGGAATAGAAGTCTACCAAGAAGAGCCATGATGTCTAAGACCAAATCGTGCTAAACTATCTGCACAACCATTTCCCACCCTATATATATGAGAGAACCTAAATCTCATACTCCTAATAGAATTAAACATGTTAAACCATTGAACACTAAGACACCAGGGTACTAAAGAAGGACTATAGAAAGCTTTGATAACAAGCAGAGAATCAGACTCTAGCCATAAATACATCCAACCATGATCACGAGCAAGCTGCACTGCACGAATGACTGCCACAACTTCTATTTCCAACGTTAAATTGATCGCAACTGACTTAACTAAACATCCCATCATATTTATTGAGCTATCTTTGAAAATAATCGCACAAGCAACTGGAGAAGCGTATGCAAAGACAGCTCCATCTGTACTGCACTTGATCCATCTAGGGGGAGGGGTCCAACAAACTTCAGCAGTGGAGACAACTTTACTTGACCTACAATGCAACAAGAAAGCTTTTAGAAGATTAAATTCCTTAATGTTAGATTTCATAGAATAAGAAGTAAAAGAATCACATGTATTAACTAAAGATACAATCTTATTTTTCAGAAAATCTATTTTCACAAGAGTTTTTAAATTTTATTTGATTTCGACTATGCCATATTTCATCTAAATGAAAGTAACAATAGCTAACAACACAAAGTTAGCTAATTTACTCCAAGGTTTATTAAGATTATCCATAATATTTGCAATATTCAAACTATTATCAACTAATCTAGATAACCAGTCCCAAAGATCTAGAGTAAAAGGACATTCAAAAAATACACGAGGAGTAGTTTAATAGGCATTATAAGAATGTGAACATATAGGTGATAATAACTCATTTTTTTCGAAGAAGATCCTCGTAAGGGAGCTTATCATGCATAAGCCTTCATAGAACAAATTAAAGATTTGGAGGGGGGATATGACAATTCCAAATCTTTTTAGCCTAGTTGAGCTTCGGCTTTGATTGTTTAATAAAAGAGAAAACCTTTTTAAAAGAAAGATCTCCATTAGAGGAAAAAGACCACTTAAGAGAGTCTTCCCGCTCAACAGTGGGAATGACAATGCTAGTGATCTGATCACCAATCCTACTTTGAAGAAATGAAGGAAGATGCCAAGACCCATTACGAATGAAACAATCTATAGAGGATATCTGCTTGGGGTGCAGGTATATATCTTTGTGTGTGTGTATGTGTGTGTGAATTTACATGACATATGGACACACACACACACACACATATATAATTACAATTTAATAATGAGTCAAGATCCCTTGACACTAGGTGTAAGTTTAAAATCTTATATTAAATCTTATACCTTCAATAATATTTTGAATAATGCAAACTTAATCAATCCAACCATTCAAGATAATGTATATAAAATTTTACATGATGTGAACTTTACTAAATATGTTATCCCAAAATGAATATTTACACATTTTAAATATCATATTATATGTTAAAATAAAATAATGTGATGAACTACTAAATAATTTTGAAATAATATCAAATTTAATATACATTGTCTTGAATATAATATCATATAATTCAGCAGTTAGATCGATTAAATATATATTATACAAAATATTATCGAAAATATAAGATTTAGTATTAATTTTTAGACTTACATTTGATATTGACTCATTAATAATTTATCATCCAATTTACATCCCTTCTCTTTGGAAGTTAAATTGTATGTTTGTTTATACAAGATTTCTTATGAAATTCGTCTATGAAAATTTCAAAATGAAACCATGTAAACCTATTTGAATACAAATTAAAAAATATTATTAGGTTTTTTTAACAAAAAAATAAAGAATATTTTTCACTAAAAAATTATTAAAAACACTTTTAACTTCAAATAAGTTCTAAATCTATCGGTAGCAGGTCATTTAATTCGAAGTTTTCCTGTGCTTGGGAGGTTAAGGGGGGAATTTATAGTTTTAAAAGAAACTTAGGACGTACCAAAAATTAAGAAAGAACGAACAGGAAACGGATCGGGGCTATGAATTTTGCAAAACCCTCGATCCAATCACAGATTCGTAATAATGTACAGTTGTACTTTTTAATAAATTATAACTAATAAAAAATGTTATATAAAGTGTGTATATTACAAACATTGCTCTTGCTAAGAATACGCGACATTTTCATGCACCTCACTTCCCAACCAAACGAATAAACGTTATTGATTATGATTTAATATTAAAAACATTGACAAATCCTATATCACAAATCACAAAAGGCAATTCATCCTCAATCTTCTTCAATTTAACAGTCAAAATTTAGTCTGATGAAAGGCATCTGCAACCTCACTCCTACAGAGTTTCCAAATTTCAAAAATATTAAACGCACAATCAACTATTTTATTGGATTAAGGGCTTATTTGGATGAACAATCTAATTGAATATTTAACAAGTCCTTATCAAATGAAAATTTGTTTGAGCATGATAGAAAAACTTGTTGAAGTTAGTCAACAATTTGATGAACGTCCAAGTAATAAAAACTTATAGAAAGAACATAGCACACTTTTATAAACATAAATAAGTCCTTTCAAATGCTTGAAATTTTATCTAACTTAGCTCAAAACAAATCTCAACTATTTACATAACATGTTTTTTGGTTGGGTAAGTAAACCCATGTGACTCAAAATGTAGCTATTAAGTTGAATAATAAACTGATACCTGATGGTCATTCTCAGAACAGATCAGGAATCAGGTGAAATTTGAGCGGATCCAAAACAATAATAAAGACTATACTCCAAAAGTTAAATACGATGAAACAAGAGGCACCCACCTATAGGTGAACAAGAGCATATTTCATCTAAACTCTAAAAGAGTACATGACACTAGACACATGATATCTTGTTTTGGTTTACTTAGTGATTGACAAAATAAAGACATAACTTATCCAAAATTTGTATTCAACACCAAATATCTCTAACCTAAAACTCACCAGGTATACCCAAAACAGACTGCGACAAAACAAGTATTGTAATTTGAATTTCTATTGGAAACTGACATACTCATGTCTGAATCATTCATTTTTGGAACTGGTATGATCAGGAACATTTTTTTCATCATTGATGTCGTCATCCTCATCACAATCTTCATTGTCATTATAATCATCGTCATCATCACAATCTTCATTGTCACTGTTATTATATTCATCTTCACAAACTTCGCTCTCACTATCCTCATTTTTATCACAAATTTCACCATCATTGTGCTCCATGTTAACTCTGTTCAGTTTGGCATAGTCTTCAATTGACGCATTTGGAAATAATTGTCCAACTTTATTACCTTTAGTATCTGTTGGGGCACTATCTGAACTCTTAGATTTTCCTTTGTTCATCTGATAACAAAAGTGAAGAGAAGAATTATCAGCAAGATGCATGTTTGCGGAACAGGACAGTAAGAAAAACATTACAAAAACAGTACAGGTACTGCCTTTGTCATAAATGAGAATGAATTATGGCTTACACCATCATTTATGTATATTTTGGATTAACTTTAGAATACCAATATAAGCTCGAAGAAAATATGTAACTACATGTATATGCAACAACATAAGACACGTACATATGCATCAACAGCAGGTACTACAAGAAACTTCTTAAACAGACATTGTTTAACAAACTCAACTTGGTGATCTGATTTTCAAATTAAATGAAATGTTCTATAACAACATACAAATCTATAGTTATGTTTGGTTTTAAATGCTGTCGGGTAAATTGATTAGACAGAGTGTGCTAGGCATAATAGAGAAGCAGAATCGGCAGTTAAGAAAATGAATAGCCTTAGTTTTAGTATCTTACAGCACGCAATAGGGATCTCCTTTCTCTCTCCCGGGAGTTCTTAATGGCCTGCAACAAAAATACCAGTATTATTTCGTGATTCTGCTTTCCACAGAAGAATAAGTCTAACATTCAGAAAGGAGGGAAGGTAATAGAAAAAGAAACCTCCTCAAGCATCTTTTGCTCGGCCTCAACTTCTGAAATATCCCTACGAGAAACAAAATAACACATCAATACAGATTCATCTTTTCCTTTGAGGAGTGTTGGCCTCAGCAAATGTTATCTGATATCCATTTTGCACAAAACTTATGTTGTTACAAATGCAAAAAAAACCAAATTCTCCATCAAATGTGAGAAAGACAACCTTCCAACAATTCGGTTTCGACCGCAACAACACTTTGCGCACACACCATGCTCCTTGGCACAACCTACACCAACAACAAAGCCAATAAAGCAAACACACACAAAACAAAACAAAACAAAACCCCATTCTCAATTTTCAACTAATTTCATCAGGTATTATATTTCATATATCCTCATAACACTTTTCACAAATACCATGTGTCCACTTACAAGCCCCAACCAATTCAACCCATACCCTTTTCCCCTTTCCACGTCCAGACTCCAAAAAACCATTCTTTTTTCCTCATTGCACTGATTTCAGAATTACCCACTTACAAAAACCCAAAATTAAAATTAACCAAGTTTGATACTCACCAGAACACAAGTTGTGGTATGCTTGGCGAACATTACGCTTGGAACATTTCTGACTACAACCCAATTAACCAATTAATCAACAAAAACCTCAAAGATAATAAACTAATTGAATTCATGAAAAACAAAAAAAGAATAGATAAAACAATACCATTTGGCAGGTTGAAATAACTGTTTGTACTTGCCGTACCGGCGTTTCCAATCGATTTGCTCCTTGCAACGGGGACACACCCCAGTGATCTCAGAGAGAGGTCTGAACCTTCCTCCAGGCTCCTGTGTACGTGAATAATAATATTAATATTCAAACGTTTTCTATTATGAATATGTTGATAGTTATAGTTACATACAGTTTCGTTGATCTTGCGGCCAGCATTGGGTTTCCAAGCGTACTTGTTCTGATGCTTTGGAGGTCCGTTCCTGTTGCCGCTACTCATCCTTACTATGCCTTCTTCAGTTCTTCTCTTCGCACCGGCATCTCGATTCTTATTAGAACTACTATTATTCTTCCTTCACTGAGGTAATTACATGTTTACTAGGGCAAGTGCCACTGACATATGTTGTTAAAAAACGACAATTCTTTATTTTTATATTTATATATATGTACTATAAATGCGTTTTGGCTTTTTAACTTTTGAAAAACTTTCAATTTTACTCAGAAAATTTTTCTTGAAGACGCAGAAACGATTTGGAATCGTTTTTATGATACTGATGCATAGTTTTAAAAACCGGACCGGTCATCGAACCGGTTAAGGTATTGGGTCAGTGGGTCAAAGGTTGAACCGGTGGGTCACTGGTTGAACCGCATGACTCGATTTTTATTTATTTTTATTAAAAAATATTCATATTAAATATATTTATACTTATAAATTTTAATAAATTCATATCTTATTTTAAATTTAAATTCTTTTATCTTATTTAAAATTATTTTTATTTTTATTTTGTAAAAAAATATATAAAAAAATTACATGTTAAACGGTATATTAATACAAATTAAAAATATAAATAATATGTACATATATAATATGCTTGCAATTAATATCACAAAATAATATATGTAATATTTACATAGATATTGAATTATTAAATATATAATTTAAAATTAATAATATACTATAAAAGTTATTTAAGTTGTATATATTGCAAACAAATATATTAGAACAAGTAGTCATTGTTATATTTAATAAGACTCCTTGCTTTTTCATTAAGAGATTCAATTTTCATTATTATTTTTGTGATTTATGGTCCCTTAAAATATTAAAAAAAAAAAAAAGTGGTTGAACCGGTTTGACCCACCGGTTCACCGGTTGAACCGGAAAATTGACCGGTTCAATCCGGTTTGAAACGGGTCGACTGCATAACCGATCCAACTTCAGATTCGGCCCGGCTGGACCACCGGTTCCCGGTCCAACCGGTCCGACCGGCCGGGTCGGTCCGGGTTTTAAAACACTGTACTGATGTAAGGCACACATATAAGATGAAAAATTATTTAAGTGAATTGATTTTTACAAGTATACTATTTAAAGACATGTATTCTCTCCCATTTACACAGTCTTGTCATCATTTGATATAGCATTTGAGACAAACTAAGCAATAATAGAATAGTTAGAATGATATTTAATTTTAATTTTTAGAGCATATCAAACTAATTGTGTGTACAAATAATGAGTTTTAGTCTTATTCTATCATAGCAAAGCATACAAAAATATGTTATATAAGGCATAACATACTTGGTTTTATCTCTTTCTTGTCATGTAGATCAAAACATATAATATATATATATATATATATATATATATATAT